AAGCCAGTCACTATGAAGGTTGTCAATGCTTGTTCCTGGCTTTTTTTTCCTCATCTTGCCCAAAGTGCCTGTGGAAGCCATAAGGTTCCCATATGTGAAGGGTTAATCTACCTGTGTTAAATCCACTAGGAGTTTCTCTGCCACTCTCTGGGAGATGGAAGTGGGCATAACCCAGTATTTTTCAGGAGGTAAAAAATTAATTTTCTTGAAGTGCTACTAGAGAACGATGATGATTATTGAGTATTGTAGGGATTCTAGAAACCCTGCAGAGAAAGGCTGGGACCCTCACGTCAAACCTGGCGAGAGGTGGGGGGCTGTTAAAGCAGGTCCAAGCAGGATTCTGGCTTCAGCAACAGCAGTGCCAGGCACCCCTTTATACAGTAAAAAGCCACATCTTCTGAACCTTCCCTTTTTCAGCTTTGCGCAGGCCTGGCTGGCTGGGGTAGGAAGCAATGGGGCAGCTGCCCTGCTTACCTCCCAGGTGTGTGTTGATGGGCTGTTCTGCAGCCTGGTAGACACGCATGGGTTCATACAGAGGAGCTAAACTGAACACTTTCCCTGACGCAAGTCAGGTTTCCAGTGATGTGGCAAAAAACAGAGCAAGACCAGAAAGACTTAGAGGCTGCCACACAGGAGTGCGACAGCCTGGGCAGTGACCAAACCCTACACCTGTAACAAACCACCCCACAGCCTCCCTTTCAGGCATACAAATAAATCAACAGATCACATGCTGCAAATTCTACTCACTTGTTTACTTTTGGGCCGAGACACACATGATTCATTTCTTTTCATACATCCATCCTCTAACTCCTCATCACCTGCACTGTTCTCACACCACCTTCTGGTTTCTTCAGAGCACACTGGTGGTGAGGTGCCCCACACAGCATTGACAGAAATAGCAAAGATCAAGGCAGTGTTCAGAAAACCAGGCCATTTGCTACAGAGGCAGTTGACAGAGATGGGCCAGGTAAACATGAAAGGCATGGCTTGCTTGGGATCAGCCGAGCGCAATCAATCAGCACGACAGCTCAGACGGAGGAGATAAAGCTACATTTGCATCTATCCTCTAACCTGTTCTCTCAAAGGAGAACATTAGGATGTTTGCCTAGATGTTACAGATTACTTGGAAAAAAGGTGCCTTGATGCAGATAGCAGTTATGGTGTGTTGATTATTTTGGCTCTTTCTGCCGCAAAACAAAACACCAGCTCACACCAAGGGACTTAGTGCTGCCAGGTTCTGAATGGTTCAGGAGCTGGAGGTTTTACGTGTGTTATGTGCCGGCAAACGTGGCCATACTAGAAGAATCTTTTCTGACAAAAACCAACCAGGATTAATCACTCAGCTCACAGAAAATGAGAAGGGAAGAACAAAATGGAGGATGAGGTGAGACCAAGGGATATTCAGTATCCTAGGATGATTTTTGCATTTTATCTGGCCAGACGCCACAAAAAGGCAGCCTGCTGCAACCCTGCCTGCCTGGTAGCAGGCTCTGTGTGTTAGATTGTGTGACAGTCGAGTATAGATGGCCCAGTGGGAAGGCTGGTAAAAGGCAGAGCTTTATTTGTAATCACGGAGAGTTTGCAAAAGGCTATGGCTGTTTGCTTTCAGCCTTATCCTGACCCTGATTAGGGATGCACTGATCATTATTTGCTTATTAAGACTTGAAAACAGGGCAGAAATTTACTCTGCTCCTCTTCACAATCAGCAAGTGTTCATATGAGCTTTTAGATTATAGAGCAGATGCAGTAAGTACTGAAGTGAGATTTTCCAGGGACATTATAGGCTTTAGAAGATGTCCTGCATGACTGGAATGACCCAAAACTAACATTTCCTCTTTGTTTAGATATTAAACTGAAGTTCATTGAACCATTTCTTCCTTTCATGCAGGGAGACCTTCAAAGCCATGTACTCAAGCACAGGCTTGAGATGAGCTGTAAGGTTTGGTAACAAGAATCAGTTCTTTGAAAGAAAAGGTGTAAGCCTCCTTGCAGCCCTGAGTCAAGACCAAGAACCAGGGAGAGTGGGATTTTCGATTCAGTCACGTCCTCCTGCTTTCTATTAGCCAATTTGGTGGTGGCTGTAGTGGATCCTATTTTAAGATTATTCCCTTAGACTATCTTCATTTCTGAAAGGAACTGTCTCTCTGAGGATAACTTGTGTGTCAATCCATCTCCCAGTGCAACCCGAGTGCTGCTAAAATTCTGGGAACTAGTTTCTATCCATACCAAAATACACTTCCCCGAAGACTTCATGAATGGTGCTTATATAATGTTTTGTATTTCTTAGACTGTAACATTCAACATTTTATATCTACATTGTTACTGTTCTGTAAAGTAGCATACTCAGCCATTTTAATAACCTCGATATACTCTGTAGTAAAAAAAAATTCTTTGTATATCCCTCAGTGACCAAAATGGAAAATAAGACCTCAAATTTTCCTCTTAACCAGTTCCAAGTCAGTTCCCTAATGTGACCATAATACTAGAAAAAACCATGTAAGACAAGGATAATGCTATGCTCAATATTTTATTTATATTTTTATGTAAACATAATTTGCTTTGTAGGCACAATATAACAAAAGCTCTAAAGCAACAAATACAATTAAACAGTGTTTCAGTTCACTTCAATCAGGCTTAAGTTAAAGAGAAGCTTTCACAGTTCCTTTAAGGCAAATTGAGAAATAATTTGTTTCACTTGAAGAAACTATCCAATTGTCTTATAGTTGTTTAAACAACACTGTCAGTAGTAAGCACAAACCTTCATTTCTACTACAGTAAGACTTGGTCAGTAACAAGTCTCAGCATCGTCATTTTGTATAGCATGCCCTCTACCACTTCAGATGCGATACTACTGCTCGTGGTATTCTAAATGGTACTTGGGGCTTGTGGGCCAAATTCTGCTAGCACAAATCCTGCTTCCAGAACAGATACCTGAAAGATTTCCATTCATTTCAGTAGTTAACTTCATGCATGCCATATTAATACCAATAAAACACAGAGCAGAGTTTAGCTTGCCAATGGTAATACTCATCTGTGTTTTTTGTGCACTTTGCTAGATCCAGAAGTATTCCTTTGTACTCACTGCAATTACCTGATATTCTGCTGATCAGAAAATGGCCCTAAAATTGGTATGAATTAGCATGAAGATTATTTTTGCCTTGCTAACAAAACCAGAAAGAACTAGCCAAAATTATTTCACTTGATTGTTGTCCCTATGGTGTCTGTGGCCATGACCAAGATCACCCATCTTTATTTGTCTTGAAGGGTAATTTAACTGTAGCGCCAACCATACTGCGGTTTATAACAGAAGAACGGATTTGCTATTCTGCTTGCCCTACTAATTTAAGGCCTTGAGAATGCCACTTTACTGCCAGCTCGAAGGTCACCAGCAATATTGCTCACTTTGGCGTCAAATCAAAAATCCTAGTTATGTTAAGTTTTGTTGCAGGACAACATTGTTACACTAAATGCAAAACAAAATTGGGCATGTTTCCTACTGTTGTCAGCTTATGAGTCATGAAAACTTAATGGCTTTTCTTAAAAGCCCAACTGGCAAGCCCAATACATTGAAAACTCTCACTGCGTATATATTTTTTTCTGTGGATAAAGTCCCTGTTTGGGCCTGATATGGCACTGGAAGTGTAGGCAAGTCCAGCTTGAAAAGAAAATCAACTATAGTGCAGTTCTGCATCAATATCTAGAGAAAACTGAAGTTCTGGTTTGATTAATATTTCAGAAGCTTTTTTGCCATTTTTTTCCATAGCTATATCCTGTCGTTATTTTTTAATTTGTTTAACCCAAGGGAAGCTCCTTCAGAATGAACATTCTGCACAATTATCTGGTATTGGAACAGCAACTTCATGAGTACAGTGTAAAGAGATGGACATTAATACTCAGGCAGCAAGATGAAACAAACAAACAACAAAAAAGAATCTTCTAAAACCACACATAGAAGTCATCCAGGCCCACAAATCCTTTCACATTGAGAAAAGCCTGAGAAACCCTCCGTCTCCACTTTTCTGTATTAGTTTTTAACTTCTATCACTACAGGATACTTGGAGATTTAGGTGAACAACTAACTAGCCATGCCTGGGGAAATTCTTTTGAAAAAAATATATTAATTCAAAGATATATGGCATAATACAAGGTCTCTGACATTCCTTTAGCATTTCTACTGTAGGTGATTGCAGTCATTTTAAAATAATTGTTTTAACAAGACAGTTGAGGACCTGAGTAGCTACTGCTTGGGTAGGTGAAAGACATGGAAAAAATACTTACTTTTGTCACGTTTAGATATAGTTTCCACTAGTGGGAGGTAGATAAGACTAGCTGGTCTTTGAATACTTGATCTGCAAATAATTACAAACGTAAGTGTACATATGGAGCAGAGCTTTGGATAGAACTACTCACCTAGATAAAGTTATCCCTGTGCATAATTTCTGATGGGATTAAGGCCTAAAACTCATTTTTAACAGGGTTAACTTCTGTAGGAGTTCAGCTCCAGCTTGGTGGTTGATCGACGCATTAGCGATTTCAGAACAGTAAACTCCGTCAACAAATTTATTTCCACATACTGATGAGTGATCCTTACCAATATGATTTAAAAATGAAATTTAAAATTGGTTTGGATTTTGGACACAGATGAGTCAATGCGTCCTTAGCAGAAGATGTTGATCTGTCAGTAACAATGCTAATTGCTACAGGCAATTACAGTTCTGGATCTAAAAAGAGTGTTTCACTGACCTTGTTCGTTCTCTGTAATGTACGGGATGATAGCTCAGATCAACAGGAAAGCATGATAGTTGGCACTCTGAATTAAGTGTTTAATTGCTGGTGCTGATGACTAATGGGATTATACAATACTTATTAAAGTCTCTCAATTAATGATTTCTTCAACAATTTCAGATTCCACAGTTCTCAATGAGGTATTTTTTAAAATGAAGATAGGATTGCTTATAAAATGATAAAGCATGACTGAGGAAAATGAAAACTCATCTTTTTTGCAACTTTTATCTGTGGTTCATAAAAGGAAAACTATTTTAACACTGAAAATCCACAAACTTAAAATCCTCCCTCCAGTTACTAGAATCTTCCAGACAGCAAGTGGGGACTTTTTTTTGTTACTGTTTCCAACTTGCAAAAAAAAGCCCAAACGCCCCCAAATAACTTGATGCAAAATGTTGGAATTTGCATGAGAAAGATGCCCATCTAAAATTACACAGTAAGTTAATAAGGCTTTTGAACTGGAACAGAAAAATCCATGGGACTCCTACAGGGAAATCGGGTATTACACAGGAATGTCGTAATACTGCACTGGATGAGAATGGCACTTGAGTTCAAAACAACAATGATCAACAGCTCATAGCTCAGCTGACTGCAGACAAATACAACACACACTGTACTACAGCATTTGTTCACTGATGCACAGAATAGATTTCCCAGTCTTGTTCCCTTCTACTTCATCAATCTTTCTCCACCACCTCTGCTGTTACTGGATGAATGGCATGCGCTCTTTATTCTCATTGTCCCCTTCATGGTCTTCTTCCTCTTCTCCGGCCTCACTTGTTTCTGTGCTGTCGTTGGCCATCTGTAGGATGAAGGATGAAGAACATCAGAGCACCTTTCACATTGTTTTATTCATTCTTATTTCAGTTTGATTAATTTGATAAAGTGACTTTAAAAAGGAAAGAAGACATGGTTGCAACATGAAAATAAACATTCTGTCTGTGCAAAACTTTTGCTGGCACTGCACTGCTTCCAGCTAAAATTGTGGGCTGTTCCCTCACAGCTTACAGCTGAATTACGTAACAGAAAGCTGCTGACGGTTGCACAAGCAGACTGATCTGTGCACTTGTAGCAAACTGATACTAAGGCTGTCAGATAGGAAATACAGCAGATCAGGCAGTTTACAGCATGTGTGAGACCTCTGGTTTACAGCTCCTTCTGTATCTGCCCTTCTAGAAACAGGTAACCCTGGATGCTATCCATTAATGCCAGCTAATGGATAGCATCTGGTCCTGCACGAGGCATAGTGTCGTGAAAACTCAGAGAGCAACTGTTCTATATAAAAGACTATGAAACTTTATAGAGCGGTGGATATGCAGATGCTGGCAGAATATACCCATGACAGAGTGCAAATCTTGGATCACACAGGAGCGGGGAGAAACTGCATTTCCATGTTTTATTGAAGTTGCCTGTACAGGTAGTAGGCAGTTGCAGAAATTTGTAGTTCAGGATGGCATCTAAGGAGCGTGTCATGTTTTTTCATGTGAGAATATTTATTACAAGCTGTGTAAAGGTGCAAGACCCTCCTGTACTTCACCTTGTCAGTTTGACTTGTCTCTGGAGGCACAAGAGTCTGGTTAACAGGACAGGCAGTAGTGTTTAACAGCATAGACTAGTGTGACTCAATTTTCTTATATACAAATACTACCTCTTTTAAGACACAAGAAGATTCTTGTATTAGCCTATGACTGTTTCAAAACCAACTAAGCAAGGGACCCATTTACTTTTTAAAGAGAAATGCAGTTACATTATACCTTCCGTGTTGATTACTAGCCTCTGCTGGAAGTAAAAAAAAAAAAATCTCAAACACAACCTGATTTTAATGGAGAAAAGCAATGCTCTGAAGTTACCCATATTTTTAAATTAACACCTGTTTGTGAAAGTGTGTCAGATTTGTTCTCATCTTCTAACCAATGGCTATTGTGAATGTACAATATCAAGAGAACAGATGGAATAAGTGTATTAATGTTGTGTTAGGGATTCTTGTTTACAGTTTTAAGATGCCATTCAACTACAAAATAATGCCAGTTTCCATGTGTGAGGTCCCAAAAGCCTTCCTTTTCCTTGCAATGATTTTGTATGAGATTTGGGGCCAATTTTAAAGTAAAAGCAAGTAAGAGCCTAACTGTAATTCCAGGTTATTTTCTGTTCTTTCAAAACAGGAGATAACTCAGGTCTGAAAGCAGACTTCATACATCATCATTGATTTGAAGTCAGTTTTTCATTATCTTCTTTACTACTCTTTCCTACATCATCAGTGAATGTTTAGGCAGGAGCCTGACTTTCATTTACTACTGCTCTCTGTCATGTTTCAGTACCATGTTAAGTGCTTCAAATCCAGTGGACCAGAGCTCCATCATAACTATCTTTCTTCACAACATTTCTAGAAGGAAGTATTTCAATATTATACTTCACATGTTATAGTAGAAGTAGAAGAAATTCCTACCAAAGGTAGGGAATGTATAGGAATCAGAAAACACCTTTACAGTGGTACACTGAAGTAGTATTGACTGTGTCTTCTTCTGTTCAATCCATTTATTCTTACTAATACAGGAATTTTGTATTACATGAAATGTCTGTTTTCAATCACAGGGGCAGAAATAGATGTGGCAGTTTTGCCCTGGTCTAAGACTTACAGACACGTTTTTGGAGAGGCAGATAGCCATTCAGTACAAAAAATTAACTGCTGGGACTCTAGGAATTACAATTGCATTTCACTTTGGGTTAAAAATATAAATTATGATTATTGGTTCTCTTTAGGTGCTATGGATTTAGAAGAAAACAGTATTGAAAAAAAAAATCTTAAGGGACATTTATCCAAAGGTCACTCCCATGCTTCAACTTGTATGACTGTACACCATGTATGTAGTTGTTGGTACTGACCAGGGGAGTGGGTGCTTTCTCCACATCCAGAATTAGTTTTCCTATATTTCCTCGGTCATGGATTCTCTGCATGGCCTCCTTCACCTGAAAGAAAGATAACCTATTGGTAATTTTCAGGCACATACTAATAGAAACCTGAATTCCTTCCTTCCAAAACCAGCAATACATTTAAGGCATACTATGTGCAAGATCATTCAAACAGTTGCTTGAAACAAAATTAATAGTTAAACATTTTTAAAATGAATTTGTAAAGGCTGATTTTTGAATTGGGTTTCAAAAATGGGATGTGAGGCTTGATGACAGTTTCTGAATAGCGTAATACATGCATAATGTTAATGTAGTACAAAAGTAATGGTTACTTGAAGTGAAAAGGGAAATAGAGGCTCAAGGAGTTAATTCTTACAGGTTGTTCTTTGCAGAATATTTATCAAGAAACCCTACTTTCACTGAAAGTATGAAATGTTTTTCTAATTGACCTATGATATTTTTCAATTAATTTCTTTTGCATTCCTATGGAGGGAATGCTGTATCCAGGCAGTAGCTGTGATTAACACAATACTGTCGTTCTCACTGCATAAGCAACTATTTCTTTCCTTCTTTTTTCCACTTTTTTTTTTTAATTTTAAATAAGTAGTGTCCTACAGATATCACTAAGACTCAACATTTAACACCTGGATGCAATTAGCACACATGAGAAAGGAACAGAAACCTCTTCTTACTAATGCGCTGGACAAGAGCTTATTTTGATGTATGAAGTTTCAGCACTCACGAGAGCTCACTGGTGATGTACTGAAATTGTCTGTGCGTTGCAGCATGCAGACCACTGTTAAATCACTGAAAATGGGAAGATGTCAAGAGTTCCCTCACTTTCATTGTGGAAAACTTCAGGAACTTGAAATATACACATAAAGGCTGTTTCATATCCTCATCACACTATTTTTTGCTGGCATAACGGGACATGTTGAAACAAGAAAGAGTTATATGTTAATAGGATCTACCATCTGTGACATAGTTTTATTGAATATTTTAAGAATAATGGCATAGAAGTTTGCAACAATATGCTGACTTGGGAACAGGTGGGTCCCACAGTACATTTAAAAGCCTGAACAGGGGTCCAGGCACCTAAGATCATTACTGAATGTCTAATACAGAAGGAGGTATGAGATTTTTAAAGATACTAAGCAAATACAGCTTTCAACTTCCTATTAAACTTAATGGATGCTGGGCACAAAATGTCTTTACCATCTGTCAGCCTGACTTTGAAAGCTGACTGCAATGAACTCAATATCACAACCTTTATTTTGCTAAGTGGTTCCCTTAATTAGTAAATACCAGACTCAAAAAAACCCTGTTAGAGCAAAAGAAAAATTGCACTGCAAAACAGAATGACTTTCTAACTTAGGGCATATCTGTAAATTAATCCTGGAAAACACAATCTTATGAATCCCACTGGATAGAAAGTTGACCTCGAAACGTAGTCCACAAAATCACAGTAACTTTTATGAAGTTATCTTACAGCATAAACAATACCTAACTATCCTATAAGACTTGTTCTGCACTACAGACAATATTTAAGAATATCCAACAAAGACGCTGAAGAAGAAGCAGCTGTAGTATTTTTTATGACTCTTATTAGCCAAATCAAGCTTTTAGGAATCTATAGCACAGCATAAATAACCAATGTAGATGTGACAGAATTGGAGAAATCGGCAAACACACTTGCCTGTCCATTGAAATTTATTACCAGCACATCATGTGGAAAGCAGGGCATGCAACATTTATTTTAATTTGTACCATATCGTATGTAGCAAGGCAAATTTGAGAAAATGTGCTTTCCCTGCATTTTGCACATGCACAGTATCAAATTAATACTCTGGAGAAAGGTTCAGGAGTTGTTTCCAGGACACTTGTAAGTACCTTTCAAATGCAAACAGCAGGCAGAGGCAAAGGGAACAATAAAACTTACAACAATAATAGTGGCTATGGAATCCAGATGGAACTATTAAAATACATTAAAAAAATGGAAAAAAGTTTGAAGAGCTGATACAACATCTGTATATTTTAGTGTTATTTGCAACTTACCCAGTTAGTCAAATTCTGTACTAGCACAATGCCATTCAGTACGCTATGTCTGAGCTAAGAGACCATGAGCTATTTTATAAATGAGTAATTTTTATGTTTATGGCTGCTAACAGTCCACTTTAACAGTCCATTTATTCAACCAAGACTGCAACTACTTGTTTCCCAAGATGCCTGAATGTTAAAACTGTTCCCTCTTATACTATAGAGGGCAGAGAGCATTAAAAACCTTTGCTATGCAAGTATGGTTAAGGCTTAAGCTGTTCTATGCAGGCTACACAAAAGCATTCACTTTTTAATGTGAACATTTAAGCGCTGCGTATAGTCTGCCTTTTGCAGACTATGGTATGGAGCTTAGGCTAAGTCAGTGCCTGAGTGTTTGCACGTTACCAATGAAGACAGTGAATCACTCCACACTTGGTTAAAATCAGACCCAGGTTTAACTGGTAGTACAGTGAGGCATGTGGAAATCCTGGAACTTATTGGAGGTTCTCTGAAGTGGTTGAAGTTTGATTCAACATAAATATCCTTTCCAGTAGCAAGGATCAAAAGATTTCCCCCTCTTACAGAATCATGTCCCTAAATTGCTTTTCACCAATTATTCTATATTGGTTGCTATTTGTTTTTGTCAGCTCAAATCCAAGTAAATGCTTCTAATGTACTTTTGTTTATATGGACGAGTTAGTTGAATTTCTTCTTGTGCAGTATCATAAGCAGACAACTCTTGGACTGGAAATAGTGCATGGGAGTGTTTACTAATATAAAGAGTTTCCATTGGAATAAAGGACACAAATTCTGTTGGCTTTTCTTTGCTTTCAGTATAGCTCAGCCCTTAAAGGGTTTGTGTCTAAACTAATGCTGAACTACAGATCTAAGCCTTGAGATGCCCCAGATTGACACGGTATGTATCACAGAGCTCTGCACTGGAATCAGAACTATATTTACACATTAGTGGACAATTAGAAAATGCTTCCACTTTCCATGTTATTTATGTAAGGAAAGCTGGCTATCCAGTTACTGAAAAACAAGATAGACCCAGAATGCTGCACAGCTGTGCACTGTCTGATGAATCCAACATAAGCCCTCCTAGGCAGCAGTAGAGGAAAACGATTAATAGCAAAGGAGAAATAAAAGGAATCCCAATTTTGCCTTTTCCCTCAAGCACAGCTGCATTAATTCGTACCTAAGTTTGACATACTGTTTTTAAGCATACTCTAGAGCAGAATTGCCTTCCCCTATCTGTGCAGTCTAGTGGAAAAGTATAACAAACACAACAAAAGGACCTTTCTAACCTAGTTTGAAACAATTTGCATTTGCTTTAGGGAATATGCTTTTATAATTGGAAAAACAATTTTGATCAAGTGTATTTCTCCTATTCCTTTCAGCTCTACAGATGGTAGAGTCATGGATATGTTATCATATATCCTTTTTCAAGTGTTTTTCAGCAATGACAGTGAATCTGGAATTAAGATGACCTATGCAATAACGAGGTCATCTGTAAAACAAAAAACATGGTCTAGAAAGACAAAACCAATGTACTGCAAGGTCCTTTACAAGTAATGCTTACTATGACCTCTGAGAAATATTCAAATTCTCATTTTCCCCCATAACTCCCCTTGTGCTGCAGATTCCCTGAACCTTCCACAAGCCACTTCCTTATACCACCCTGCTGGACCCAAGCAGAGAGGCAAGGAATATAAGATATATAGAGCTTAGTTGGGAACATACAGAACCATTGCACTGTGTTAGCATTATAGGCAAAATTGAGCAGCTTTAACATGTCTTAGAAAATTTTAATCTATTAACACACACACTTGCACATTTAAAGAGGTGTTATGCTACCAATGCTATCAACAGAATTCCTCAAAGAAGTCTTGCTACAAACACAGGATAAAAAAATTACAAAGCTGGCAAAGAAGCCCTGTTGTGAAAAAGCCTATTCAAGTGTATTTTCCTGAGGGAACGTTATGGTTGGGATCTCAGAGCTTCTCTTGGATCAGAGCCATTTCTGTCCATCTGTATTGTGTATTGTACCGAGAAGAGCAACAATTACTGTCAATAGGCCTTGGTAGGAGAGTAAGGGCAGACATGCCTTCATATTACTGGTCAGAGAATGTTCTAGAAGAGGTTTCATGACAGCTGTGTTCTCTGGAATTATAAAGTCTGACAGCTGTACTGAACCCTCTCCGACACCACTGTAGTGTCTCTCTTGGGATACTCCTCAAAAGGACCAAGAACTTTGGATATGGTGTCATCTTTAAAATTCCTTATTCTGCTTCAAAGAGACTCATCTTCTCCAGCCTCAAATCTTTTCAAAATCAAGCCAAGCCACTTATCTTAATCAACAATGGTAATTTTCAGAATACTGTTTAATACTTTAATCTCCTACCAGACTAGATTTTCTTCATCTTCAAAAACAAGCTGTAACAATGAGGCCCCTCTAACAATTTTTATACAGAGAAGTATTGCAGAAAGTTAGTGTTTTTAAAATTCTGCATACAAACTAAAACAGAAAAGACAGTAAAAATCAAGTTGACCAGACACACTGGGTTCTAGATTCAAGGGACAGATATATGCCTTGTCTTTCTACTTTCAAACATCTGAGCACTACAGGCTTTCAAAGACAATGCAGATAATGATGTACACTAAAGAATAGGATTTTTGAAATTCTAACAATGGATAAATCTGGAATTCAATGTGGGTCTAACAGACTTTTAAAACCTGGATTGAGAAAGCTCAATAGTTGTTCCTCTCAATGAGAACTTTGACAATAACTGGCTGTGCCAATAGTTGTTTGCAAATTCAGAAATGATGCCACACCTAGGGTAATGGCATGCAACATTCTGCTCAACTTTCCTTCACTGATTAAAAATTAAAATTGTTGAATATTACAATCCTGTCCAGTTCATACAAGAGCAACACAAAGAAACCAACAGGAAAATCTCAGCACATCTCAGGACAATGCTTAGACTAGACAGGTGTATGCATTTTGGGGTACTCTGTGT